TAATAACAGTCTGCTCCTAGTTAATCTACAATGTATAGGTATGTGGATACGTAATCCCACTCCGATCGATACACGAACAAACACGATTTTGGTACCTTGTATACCTACTGATTTTAATTACACTGCTCACATTGACTCGACTAATTTATTCGCAAAGTTGACTCGTTTTGAAGTCTTGTCACTACACCGTTAAGGTGGGTGCTTACTTAAAGTTCAATGTCACTTATAATCCGACTTCTAAGTACCAAGAAGTTTAAACTCAAGTGTGTATCTACTTAGGGCCCGGAGAGGGTACAATTACTTTGGGAGCGATTCTGTTACACGCGTGGCCACCTCCTTTGATACTGTAAGATAAAGGCAACTGAAGGTGCGAACGATTAATGGCATCTAACCGAAGAATGTCAAGTGTCTCCTGAGAGAAACGTTCAGTAAGAAAATGACTACGGATGAACATTTCACGGGCCACAAATTTCCCCGTGAAAACAATCGTAAAACGCTTTTATTACTCAAACATTCGCCATTGATTCACGGGCCGAAACAATAAAAATACTGACTCAATCAACCTACCGAACTTTACGAGCCGTCTAGGTGAGTGGTTTTATTGTCAGAACGCCAATAATCTTTCATTTACACCTACATCTAAGAATGGTATTAGCCGAGCCTAATGTTTATGGGCCCTTATGTACACGGCAAGAAATAACCGTCCGGGCGGACGAGAGTAATTCATTTAGTCTGGTAATATTTTTTTAATTACTTTCATTTTAATCAAGGTAAGTGTTGGTGTTTATTCTGAGCAGGAAAACAGCGTTGTGAGCTCTCATCTATTTACATTTTAAATTTACGTATTAAAACAGCACATCTCGAACATAATTACAGCAAAGTTTGAAGAAATAAAAGTAATAAATGTACCTGCAGAGCAAACATTAGATTTATGGCAAAAATAAAAGAAACATTGCTAGCGCAAACGGAAAAAGTCGTCGCAATGAAAAATAATGTCTTTACGACGGCGCTATTTGAATGTAAACTACATCGAGCTATTTAAAAAGGTGCAATTTATAAGAAATATTTATAGTAAAAACAACAACGCGCTGGTGTGGCCGGAAAAGGTCATTTGCTGTCGTAGGGCGCCGGCGGCGTGCGGCGGCGTGCGGCAGCGGCCGGGCGACTGTCCCTTGCCTCTGTTGTTCATTTTTCTTCCCCTTTTTCCGGGGCCAAACGGTAAAGAGAAACTTAATTGGAGGCTTTCCCGCCGACTCTCAGGCTCAATGAAAAATTACGAGCTAAACGAGCACACGCTTGGGAATTTTTCGCTCATTCTCGACGGCACACCAGCAGAAAGAAACGCTGCGTCTGTACGCAAGCCCCTTAAACTTAGATAAATGTAAGCTGATGAACGTAATTTCAATGAAATATACTGCTCATTACAAGAATTAATTTAATTCCGCTCCTTTAGCGAATTGTCTGACGACGTCGCGGCTCGTGTAGGTGTCTTTATGAACCTTTTCACATGCCTCTAATGCTTTGTTTTGGCTCTTTTTTGAGTTACAATCTTTTAGTGAGTTATAAAATTGTATCGTGTTTATTTATTCTGGGAATAATTACTAAACCGAACCTTAGGTATATTAGTATGGTATTTAATATATAAATTGAGTTCTCCGTAACACGCCACAACTACATCGGTTGCTTGGCAAATGACTATTCAATATCAATTTTATCTGGCACAGTCACAAAGGTAGATTAACAGTTGGCGAGGCAGGGCACAGACAACTGCGCAACACATGTAACTTACAAAACGCTCCTAATTGGTTAACCAACCCATTGGTGGATTACGCGGGATGTTCATTATTGCGCTTTCGGGATTTCTCTGAGAGCTGCATAATTCACGTTCCCGCGATTAAGCTAAATGCATAGCATATATGGTAAAGCAGCTTCCGTGTCTTCTGTTTTGGTATAAACCTGTGATTTTATAGATTAAGTGCTACAGTTTGTGGTTTTAATATATTAGGTACATCAGCGGCCCAGAGCAATAGAAGTAGTGTGACACTAAGAAGACATTGAAAAAGTATATCATCGTAAATTCTTTATACCTGCATTATCGTAAACTTAGTTTGCGGGCTCAGTAGGTACAGTACTTCTAAATGTTGGATATTTTTTACGGGACTCACGTGACGTTACTTTAATTCAAGTTTTTTTACTTGATATAAACTAGTGCTTGACTGCGATCCCACTTGATGGTAAGCAGTGATGCAATCATTGATGGTAAGGCACACTAGTTTATTAAGAACCTATTCACTCTAGCCTTGAAGACACCTAAATTATATTTGGACAGAAAGACTGCAGCTGGCAAACTGTCCCAATCAATTGATGTACGCGGTATAAATAATGAGGCAAAACGCTTAGTCACGTGGGCAAAAAGTTATTTTTAGGAAAAAATACAACAGTACAGAAAAGTACAAAAAAATATTACGTTCAAGTTTCAAGTATATAAATGCAATTCGACTTGTTATTGAAAAAAGAATACATCGAATAGTGTTTGGTTATTGTAAATTTGGACACGTAGACAAGCAAACTGGGGGTTTTATACCTGTGGTCAAGTTCCCGGGTTGGGATGACACGCCACAGACATTTTAATTAAAGGCCAACCGTAGCTAGACTGCCGGTGAAAGAGTTCGACTAGATTAAAACGTAAAACTCGGCCCGATAGCAAACGAGATTAATAATAAAAATATTGAATATATCAAGCAACTTGTATAGCGGAATATTGAAATGGATTATTCAAGAGTGACATACAATTTTTTTTTTGAAATATGGCAAATCTTTTAAACCCAGATATGTTTCGACTTTATTTTTCCCCACTCTAGGATTTTCTCGTCTGTCGTCGTTGAGTCTACAAACATACAATTTCACACACACAACATCCAGACCCGGACCAATATTTTATGGATTACACAAAGAGTTGTTCTCTATTGTTATCGACCCTGAGACACGTTGCAAGCTAGCCGGTTGCCTAGCCACCGCGACACACTATCTGCATTTTAGTTTTTTTAAGAAAAAAAAATAGCTTTTGTCCATGATATCACTCTCCTAAATTCGTAGTGACACGGTTCCCTTTCCTAATTAAGAACACATAGCACAATGTTATTTAAATATTTAAACGACTGTCATTTCATCCATGAGGTCTGTCCATTTAAGTAAACTAACTTACAATACAAAATGCAACCCAATGCAAAAAATGAAGGATTTTGGGACAATCTTTGTTTTGCGTGACGTAACATCGTAACACACAATACATATTTACAATAAAAAAGAAATTGGTTTTTACAACCTGACAAATACACGATTTTTAATAGCACTTTGGCATCTGGGACTTTTCCTGACCCACAGAACATAAAATAAAAAAATACCTCGTTTAATAAAAATATATTAATCCTCTGTTTACTTTCTTATTACAAATTTTATGTAAAAACCTGATCTTCGTCAGTAAATCCATTAAAATACTGCCAACAAATCGTGAAATATCATCAGGTATAAACTAGAAAACTTCAGAACAGTTCCCGTTACTCCGAGCTGGGAATACGACACAGCATTTTTTCAAACTGAAGTTGTCGGAAATATCGACTCCTGGGATTATTCATAGTCAAGTTTTAATATTGTTTTTAAAAAATAAACAAATAGTAATAGAACTCTGTTTTTTTGTTTTGTTTCTAACAAGAACCGGCTGATTTTATGCTAGTAATTATTTCCTTTATGTTACTTAGTTAGGCTAAATTATGTACTCAAGCTGTGCATAGCGATTTCTTCAACAATTACTTTCTTCAAAAGTTTTTTGGCAAATCAAACAGCTGAACACTTAACAGATTTTTATTTCCTTATGTTTTAAATTTCCAATTTATATTATTTACAAATTATTTATCACAATGTCACAGTCATTACATATAAAGTTATTTACAAAAATTTCATTATACAAGACATTTACAACTACATAATGTATGGGGTACACTGCGGACCAAATCAGGCAACTAACAAAAGTATAAGTCAAAAAGATCACATTAAAGGTATGTATAAAATAAAGAAAATTTACTTACAAAAGTATGAAGCTTGTATCTTTGGAATAGCAGCGTTTACGAGACCAACTGTTCTAACAAGCTATTAGTATTCTACAGGTCCCACAGACACCTTAGGCCAAGTCTTAACCAAGTCTGGTGATAATATCTGAGGGACTAAGCCATTGACGCTAACGTTCCTGACAAAGTTAGTCTAAACTGTTGAAAATTATTTGCGAAATTTATATTTGGCTACTAAATTGTGGGATTACTTTTTTGGCATGGAGTCGGTCACCTCAGTACAACATAACGTACACTCGTGGCCCACTAAAGGTATCCGGCAGTGTAAAGATAAAAAAATGGCAACGGTTTGTAGAAAGTCTATCCACCGTTAAGCTACTCGCCAAAAACATTTTTGCCAAAAAGGATTTTACTGCGCGATGAATGTTAAAAACCTTGATGTGGCAAAGTTGAACAAAACACTTTTTACAATAATACTTCAGGGTACATTTACCATTTATGAGCAAGATTTTTGAACAAGTGAATCCGATTTAACATTTTTAGCTGTTAGGAAAAACATGCCGAGCATACATGACCTAGAACGGTTGGAACAATGAACAAAATTTCAACAAACCGTGAGCTAAGACGAGACTCTACCACAAGCTAAGACATTTCTCATTTAGTTGTGTTCTGCTTAAGTTGCAAGCGCAATTTGTAAGCTGCAGGCAGTCGCAACAAACGAGCCAGGGAATCAGCAGCAGACTACTGCCCAATAAATGTACGAACACAGAGCCAACAGATTGCTGCAACATTTTGACGCAGTTTTTTAGGCAGAACAGAATCACGTCCTTTTTACCATCACTGTATATTTACATTTTCCTCCTTTGCCTCTGAAGAATCTCGTTTGGAAATAATTGAATCTATTTACATAAGTAATTTATTATAAGCTTTATACATTTATACACAACTCTCTGGACCTGGTATCTCTTCAGCTATAAGATGCTCTCTCCTACTTAACGTCATCGCGCCTAGTGGTACAGGTGGCTTATTTAAAACTGCCTTCGGCGACAGTACCTGTGGAAGAGAAAACATGAAATGAAAACAATATAAGATAGATTCCGCTATATTATCATGTACTTGTAAAATGTTTGAGAACGTTTGAAATACTTCTAGTAATCTACTTAAGCTAAAGTATCTAGTAATCGTTATTTATATTTAACAATTAAAACATCGATATTAACTTTATAAAAACATAAACAGTTAGAAAACACTTTTAAAAATAAAACTTAAGTATACTTAAATAAAACTAATATTAAAACCGCTGCCTGTGAGCGACGCAATCATTATAAAATTTTATGGTTCATCCCATAAAATTTTATTATTAATTTACACCTAGACACAAAACTACTTGAGTTTTTCAACAGTTCATGAGTAGAGTTTTCCAAGTACGTATAATAATTATGTGCGGAGTGTCTAGTCTATGACATAATTAAACCTACGTTTTAATGAGTTGGATTTTTCGCATCGGCTTAGCGCACGCTTTTAATTTAATACCATGTCTAGGTATACGGTACGTACAAATAAACGGTATGTGGGTCATACCCACACTGAAAAGTTTAATGTTTAGATGTAAAACCGCGTTTGTATTTTTAGTAGAATCATGTGAGTTTTATACTGATGTACCTATGTAAAATGTTCATGATTGATGAATAATATTTTTTCATGAATATTTTAGGTACAACATTATAAAAAATATATTATATGTAAGTTTATTTCCGATGTATATTTTTATTTATTTTAATAGTATTCATGTAGGTAAGTGTATAAAAAATATAATAGGTCTTAACCTATGAAATTGCCGTTCTGCAGTACTAGCCAGTTCAAATCAAAATAGTTTTTGTTAGGCTAAGGCTAATTAATTTTGTTTTAAAAACATGGGATTCTTTTTCCACAAGTAGTCATTTGTTTATTGATTAGTGTTACATTTTCATCGCATTTCAATCAAAAAATTCGTTTAAATTTTTGCATGCAAAACGGAAATTTCATAGGTAAAGGCCTATTGTTATCAGTAATATCTCCATTTTGCTTCTTGCACCTACTGTTATCTCTGCATCACCCAAAGGTATAACTGGCAGGGAATGTCTGTGACATTAAGTCCACCTTGTAAAGAGATGTTTGTGCAAAAGTTTAAATAAAAAGAATGGTTTATTTTACCTTGAAATATGTATCGACAAAACTGAATACAATAAAGTAGATATAGGTGTACAGTTTGGTAGTTTTTTGCTTTTTAAATACTAGGGTGGGAGTCCCGTTTGATACTCACGGGTCGATGATCGTCAAGCGCTGCGCTGGCGCGTTCGCTCCCCCACTCCTCGGTTGGGTGGAGAGCGCCATTTTTCGCGGCCGCCTCTGCAACACACTTCGCGCTCGGCGGCGCCCCGTCTGTGTACAAATATCACGTTTCATTATTTCACTCTGATACAAATTTTTGATGAAAAGGAAAATGTTTCATGACGACGAGAGTTATTATTAGCGTTATTTTTATCATAAATAAAGAAAATTACATTCATACGTCGCTAATTTATTACTATATCGTAACATTTTTGTATAAGGGCTGATTTACCCAATGGTTAGATAAAAGTTATCTGGGAAATCAATATGATGCTGTCGCGTCAGAATGTTTGTATAAGACAGTGACAGCAATAATTTTAAATTCTCAGATAACATTTATCCGACTATTGAAAAATCTGCCCTATGTTAAACAATATATCTTTCCAAACATTTTAACTACCTATTTAAAGAGACGTATTATTGACAAAATCGTTGCGCCATTCACGTCACAGCTCAAAATAAAAAGGAAAACAAAAGAAATTATCTACTTCAAGAACTTCAGATATAAAAACTGGTTTTAATCTTCATAAAAATGTGTTTAAAATCATATTATAGCTTTAAAATTAGATATTAATTTCGAACTTTGCTCATAAATCTTCAGTGTTCTATCAAAAAATTGATATAATTTTTACGATGTCGACGCGAAGTTGTCACGTCCATTCTATTAAATTTTTAAATTTTACAGTGTAATTATTACGTTCTTGTTTACTTAATGTGGTGAAGGATGATTCATTTTCTTATTTCATTTAATTACAAAATACAAGTCTATTGAATGTTACTGCTAATGTCAGAATGGCAACGCACAAGCAATCCAGTGACACATGTTTTAAATAAATGACGTAATTTTTATTCGATACTTGCTGACCCGGCAAACTTCGTACTGCCTCAAATGTAACTATATTTTTCTTTTTTTTCACATTTTAAACCTTTCCAGTATATCCAGGAATATTTCAAGACCACAATAACTAACAAACAGCATTTCATTTTTATATATAAGATGGAGACAAACCTGCAAACGGATTACCTGATAATATGCTATCGGCGCCGCCCAAGGAAGCCCGCAACACTAGAGAAGTTGCAAATGTGTTGGGTGGGTTGACGGGGATAAGGGGTTTAGGGATTTGGGGATTGTGAAGGGATGAGAGGAAGAGAACGATCAAGCCTCCAATAACCTCAATCACCCGGTGAAACAATGCTGTAGTTATTTCCGATCGGTTTTTTGCGAGGCCTTGGTATCACGGTCGAGCCCTGGCTCTTGCACACTCAAAATTTTATGACAAAAACATGCAACTTTTCATCATATAAAGTCACATTTTATTAATTATTTATTTTAAATATGCTTCATTTAAAATATTTAAATCTTTTGTCGATCTTACTTCTTATATAGAATCGACCATATAACTATTGGCAATCAATTAATCCACCTAGACATTGTAACTCGATGGTATTAGCTCAAGAGCAGGCGACACTTAGCTTAAGGACTATCAGACCACGCCACAAATGGCGATCAAACGGTTTCTCAGTCATCGTAATATCAGTACTACTGATCACTGAGCGCTTTATACTCCACTTGTTAAAGGAATCCTCAATAAAACCGACGTATGTCTGGTTAGGGATAAGTAGCCATTCTGCTTATACCGTTACAATCGGATAAGTGTGTCGTAAAAGCATTTAGAATGAAGCCAGTCTTGTTTTAAATTGAGAACTTGGGTATTGTGCGTAACTATCTCATTTTTATTACGAAAATGTTCTTGTTCGGGTTTTTAGAGATAAAACGTAATTTTATGATTGTTTCTTATTGGTTTTGAGTAAAGAGTTTTAAAGAAAACTTTTTAATAATAAATAGTTTATATAATAAAAAGGTTTTATTAAAGAAATACGGGAAAATAAAAATCAAAAACTAAATCGTATCTCCTTGAAAGTATCTATCAATAAAATCATTTTTCATTGTAACAACTTCAACCCAGCGATAATGTTAGGTTATTCCACAGAGCTTGATCTTTATATGATTGATGGTTGTTCTAGAAAAATCTTCGGATAAAAGATTATTTTAGAAAATCAATTCTGAGTGGATATTTGACGTGGAAGAGCCCCGATCTGCCTGACCGGAGTGATACCACAGTACGCTTTTTTTGTATTTTTTTTTTTGATAATTTTCCTCGACACTACTATTTTTTCTGTGCCGTGAGTGCTTTTACAAACATACACATCACACCAAGACCCGGAACAACAATTAGTGGATTACACAAAGTTGTTCTGTATACTCGCAGTATCGAACCCACGATACGTTGCGCGACAGCCTGTTTCTCAGCCATTCTGACAACTGTGCAGTCTAGTATTCCACCGTGCATATATTTGACGCCCGTACTTGTAACTCCTTGAAGGTTTCCGACTGCCTACAATCAGTCAGTGAATCTATTTGTTCCTGAAAAAGTAGAATTTTCGTGTCTTACCTGGCGGCGGGTTCAATATATCCGGCTGAGCTTGTTTGGGTGGCTTAAGTGTGTAGGCCACCACGTACTGTCCGTCGCCTGCGTTCAGTTGAAGCTCAGACGACTGTTGCTTTGTAGGAGGATTACTTCTGGACAAAATACAATATGTATTGGTGAATACTGTGCACACGACTGTGTACGTACTTAACGTATACTATATGCTAGTGTTTCAAGTGCTACGTGAGAATATATTATCTGTGGCAATATAGAAATAAACAAGGGCAAGTTTTAAATACATAACAATAAATTCTCTTTTCTGAGATCTTCATCAGAAACAAAAGAGCAAGAGTAAGACTTCACTACCATTAATACATCTGAATTAATCGTTATAATTTAAAGTAAGAGTTAATTTATCATAGAGATTGACTTTTTTTTTAATTTTCTTGTGGCTTTAATAAAATAACTATAGATTTTATTATTATTTGTAGATTCATTTAAAACATTCCATACATAATTCTTTATTTTCTGACCTAATCAAAAAACCTCTACGCTAACATGATTTGAAAAACAATGTGACGTCTCTATTTTTTTTTACTAAGAAGCAACGTAGACGGTTTCTCCACTCCTAAACTTAAATGTATTTTTATAATCTGAATATTTGCTCATTATGTAACTGACGAACTAAATAGATTTTTAAATATCATCCTTATGACAAAACCATACAACACAAAAACGTTTGATACAGACAAACAAATACAAACGTGAAAAAGTATGTATGTTTGTATGTACATATTACACGTTCACAACTCGTACAATAGTCGGACTTTTGTCAAGTTGCAGTCACTGCACATAGCGTTAGAGCAACGTTCGTCACTCGGAACGTGAGCAAACATGCATGTTGACGCTATTCAGATTGCAAGGACATGAGAAACTTGGGATACAAGTTTGAAAGTTTAATGATGTACAAAATGTACGAAAATGTAAGTGTATCGAGAAGAAGGTATGATATTTTTTAAAGGTTTGTTATTCAGCAACATTGTAAAGACTACATCGGTTTTGAAACTAGAATATTAAATTATCCACTTTGACTCCTTATCAAACTTTAAAAGAAAAGGCTTTAAGGTTTTAGAAACTCATTCTTCCGGCCAAAAAACAAACATAAAACAACCAAAGCGCTGTGTGTGTGTGTAATATAAGGATAACCGAACCAACCAATCCCCAATTCTCAAATCTCTAACCCCCGTATATTCGGAAAAACTGATGATTTATCCTATTGCATTAAAAAAAGCTCACGTCTATCTAGCATTGAGTTTTTATTTTGAGGGAGGAAGTAAGTAAATGACTTTATATACCCTGTGTGGGCGAGAGGGAGTGTCTGACTTATACTGACTAACAATCATCTCTGTCCTTCTCCTACTCCAGACTTTTTTTTTTTTTTTGATGGGAAAATCATCAAATGACTTTTCCCGCCCAGGGCCGGGCGGGAGGGAGTGTCAGACTCTTGCTGACTAAAAACCCCCCTGTTCCTTCTCCTGCTCTGGGCCGAGGTCGCGGTACCTCATTGCGCTTACCCCGCAACCCCGGCTGAACATCAGCCCTATGGGGCCCCGTCTGTGGTGGTCTATTGGGTCTTTGAGGCGCGCGCGGAACACTACGCGCCGTACGCTGGGGTCTGGTTCTGGTCGGGCGGCGAGTCTCTTACTCCAGACTGAGACCACGATACGTGGCAGAACATCAGCCCTATTAGACCTCATTTACGAAAACCCAATTTAAATATGACCAAAGTCTATTCATACTATGACATGTTACAATAAAACTATCAAAAACAAAAGGAAAATATCATACATAGGAAAAGGGCGAAGCACATTAGAATGTGTGTGTAACAGTTTGTGTATAAATAAGTCGTTAAATGTAACATTACACGTAAAACATTATCATTAAATAAAGAAGAGGTTACCTAAAGTTAATGGCATACATAGAAGGAATGCTTTGCTTTATTGCATGCCGTAACAACACTCCTACACTGACGATACAAACATCTACCTATTATGAGTTTCTTTCTTCAAGTTACGAGCGTTTACGCAACGTGGATTTTCATAAAAACTTTCAACTCAAGTTATGGAAGTGACTGAAATGATTTTACTCAAAATTGGGACTTATTTGCAACAGATTAGAGTCTAAAATGTTAATAACGAACATTATGGGATAAATCCTAGTAAGTAACCAATTTAATTATCTATGTAAAAATAAAGTTGTCTCTCTCTCTCTCTCTCTCTCTCTCTCTCTCTCTCTCTCTCTCTCTCTCTCTCTCTCTCTGTCGGTGTTTAACTAAAATATTTCCAAAAAGTATTTTAATTTTTAAACCTTGACATAAGTGGTTGAGCAGTGTTCATAACTTTTGAATTAAATATTTTTATAAAATCCGAAATATTTTTGTTGGATTAATTTTTATAAGTAATTACCAAATAGGTCGGTTTTTGGTCAAACAAAATATTTTAATCATTGTAATTGATTACCTGTTGTTAAACCCATTCAGTAAATACCATTATTTTATATATACCAATTCTCGTATTATTTATAATTGGATATTTTAAATTATTTTTATTTATTTGTTAAAATGATTAATTATAATTATAGGCAGTAATAAAAAAAGATTGTAATTTATAGTAATTTAGTAGTTACTATAATAACGTATTTGTTATGCACTGAAAAATGCGATCGGTGTAAACTAAAATGTTCTGAAGCAACTCCATGTATATTATGTATAATCTTACCTTTTTCTTCGAAGAAAATATCCTGTGAAAATGGCCGCGCATCCGCAAATTATGGCAGTGAAGATAATCGACCAGAAAGCAGCTTTCGAGACACCAGCCATTAGACTGTTGCCACCATCTACGATATTACAAAATTGATAATACTTATTTATATATGCACTTTTTCGATGAACTTTTATATGTATCATGAGATTTTGTTGGGATTTACACTGGAAAAAATATAAAAAAATTGAAATACATTTACGACTTTTTTTTCAAAGTTCAGTTAAATGAAATTACACTTTTTACAACACATTCCATTGCTACGTTACTGTAAAAAAATATTCTGAACAATACATAAAACAAAAGAAATAAGAAATATGATCCCTAATTATTAAAAAGCAACAACCACAAACAACAAGCAACAAGCAACTTATAACTGATGATTTCTTCATTTTTATAGAAAAGGGTGGATTTTCCGACAAAGCAAGGTGACCATGCCTAGCGGGCTACTACCCCACAGTTGTAAGTTGAGATTCTCTATCCGTGTTATAAAGCGCGAAAACTTCTTATACGATTTTCTATTTGTAACGTCTTCGGTTGATTTATTATCGTCGATCTTCCATTGCGACACTACAATAGTTAGGTATGGTAAATGCTACATTGTAGTTGACTGCGACAACTTCCGTTAAATATATTCAACTAATTGACAAGTTATCCGACTAGTTTCAAGCCACGCCAAAGATCCGATCTATATTCATGGACAAAATTGCGTTACTCACTGAATACGAGGCCTTTTTTGCGAGTAAAATCATCAAATGACTTCTCCCGCCTAATGTAAGGTGAAAGGAAGTGTCAGACTCTTACTGACTAAAAACGCTCGTTTTTTCTCCTGCTCTATCTAATAGTATAGATAATCTAGACCGCGGTGCCTCATTGAGCTTACCCTGCAACCCCGGCTAAACATCAGCCCTATGGGGCCCCGTCTGTGGTGGTCTTTTGGCTCTTTGAGACGTGGGACGCTACGCGCCATACGAGCTCCTAGCGTGGCTTGAAACTTGAGTTCTTTTTCAAACAGTTACGCGGGTAAGCCGTTAAACATTGTAACTCATTCACTATCAATAACTCAACTTGGTGTTAGTAGCTATGTACATATATCGCTACACAACATATATCGCAATTCAAGTGAGTCAAAATTACATCTTTTGTAGCCAAACTAGCCAAAAGAAGGATTATTGAAGCTAGCCGTACCTATAATAAAAACAAAAGAAAATAGTTTCTCTCTACACAAACACAAATGTAAAATAATATTTTTGAAATTAATTATCCGAATAAGCATAAATTCATCCCTTTGTGTTTCAAAGCATTTTTAAAGGCGTATTCTAAGCGAATGCATCATTATGCTCATGTTACGTATAAAATACATAGGTGGTTTTTTATACTACTGCCATAGGAAAATGAACTCTATTTTAGAAGCAGTTTGTTACTTTTATGTTTCTCTCTCATCTCTAAATTATAATGTTGCAATTGAATTACAAATGATTCTGTTTGCATAAGTATAATTAACATAATATTATAAACGTATTAAATATAAAATTTTGTTTTTAACTATATGTATAAGTTAGGCGGCATATCCAAGTCATTTCAAAGAGTCTATTCCACTTTCAATACGATTTGTCGATAAAAATCAAACAACCAATCACAGAACTCAACTCTTAATGACGTAGATAAGTCTTCCAAGGACTAAAGTTTTTCGAACAAAAAAAAAATACAAATCAAAGTTGTTTTTTAATTATATGAATGTGTACTTTATATCCGCTCTCTCATTCTCCTTATAATATTTGTTTAGTGAAAATCATGATAAAAGAACAATTCTATTATTAAAATCAGACCTCATTCTTTTGAGAGATATTTTATTACAGAAATGTTTAAGAATTCTATTTATATGAAGAAGATGATTAAATGTATGAATATATTTTGTAAATTAACCACAACAGACACCTTCACATTATTATTAGTACGGAATATTACGACATTAAATGTCAGACGGTGAATCAGCGTAATTACTCTCTGCTATCCCTCTCTAGTGCCCTTCAAAATAGTAAGAGTGAGTGAGATAGTGTGTTCGTGTTACGCTATTAAGCAGGTTCAAATTTACGTTTAGCTATCTACCAGATTGCTTGCTTATTATCTTCCTATCAATGGCAAATTGCGCTAGCCGGTAATACGCCATGAAATTAGTTTGTCGGCCAAAAAGGGTTTGAGAAATTCCCAATTAATTTATCTTAAAATTTGTGAGATTCGCCCTAAATACGGTGTCCTCGTTCGACGGTCGGACAATTATTGACTTCCCGTAAAATTTGGTGTGTACCGACATTTTTAATTTACAATTTTGGATGTTTAATATTTCTGTTTTTCATTTTTATATAACGAATTTTTCGGAAGATCGATTTTTCTTTCAACACAATTTAGTCGACAAATATTTTTGAATAATTAGCATTGTTTTATTGATTTATTCTATATGATATCATTTATTGGCTTCACGATTAGCGCAGTGACTGGACAATCGGCTGCTGTAGTTATATTTCTGAGGTTTAGTTCTTTAACGGAACAAATCTTTGTAATATCTACCAATATTTTTAAAGACTATGGGTAGGGTAACAGTGGGGTTATAAAAATACCTCTTTGTAACAACAGACGACTCAGAAGAAAATCCCAGTGTAGGACAACACTTTTACTGAGTCCTGATTTTTCAATGGTTAGATAAAAGTTACCTGGGGAATAATTATGATGCTGTCGCGTCAGAATGTTTGTATAAGACAGTGTCAGAAACAATTTTATTTCGCAGATAACGTTTACCTGACTATTGAATACCCTAAAACCAAATCGACAACCTCACAGCAGAATGGATGTATTGTAAAAAAAGAGAGGACATACCTGTTCTTCTTTCAGGGTCTTGATATGCAAGTGCGTGCAACATGATGCGGTCTGAAGCTCCTTTATCATTCCTCGAATGCACCGTCAGCCTGAGTGCACTGCCGCTCGACCATAAAACCCCGGCTGGTACAAGGAATATGGCAACTCCATCTACAGCAACATAATTGAGAGGCTTAATTGCGTGGAAGATTGTTACGGTTTAACATCTATAATAATTGACGGTGCTAACCGCTTGTCTTGTCCACTGGTATGGAATGAGTTATTGTTTTGAGAGTGGAATTGGAGAAACAGTTATTGGTACGAATATTGAATTGAAGTGGTTTAAAGCGGTTGTTTGTTGGTTCACAGAATGGAATTTAGTAAGAAGGTTTTGAAATTAAATGCAGCATAGAAAAATGTAACTAATGTGATATTTTTACTTTCACTGACAAATACCGATTAGTAACTAGCAATACTTGAGGCGTATATATTTTGATACTTGACAAATATACAAATCGAAATTATTTCGTATTGCCAAAATCATTTATGTATTTTATGAAGAATTTGTGTTGTTATAATATTTAATTCACGGAAAAAACACTTATAATGTTCCACAATAATTTGTAATATTTTATTGTATTGAAGTGTTAAAACCACTTGTATTACTTTTGGGCAAAGAAAAAAGCAATAAAGTTACTTTTAGAAATCAGTATCTACATCCTTACCAGTCTCATTAGCCGTAACGTTGAACCTGATCTTCCCATTTTCTGAATCCAATGCTTCTAACACTACCAGCTGAGGCAGACCTCCATCATAGCCTGTGACGCAGCGAACAGTTAGAGGCTCGCCATAGTCCTCCCGGCTCGAGTCCTCGATCCAATTGGATCCATTGCCAGCAGACACTGTACAATTCCTCGGCGGAGACGGACGAGCTAAGAAATAAATTGCTGTAATGACTTATTTGTCCATTGAAATATTAGTAAGAGAGTAAATTTAAAAGAAGCTTCAAAATATAATAGTTTTAAAAGTTTTGATACACCTACTGATGTGAAATATACAATAAATTATTAATAATAAAAGTTACAAAATTATCATGGTAATTTCACTCGCACACATTTTTATTTTTATGCCACTTGATTTTTAAGTGTGGAAGAGCCATGCTTCCGCACGAAAGGTTCGGCTCGACTGATACCACGGCCTCACAGAAAACCAGCGTGAAACAACCACAGCGTTGTGTTTCACTGTGTGAGTAACGTTACCGGAGGCCCAATCCTTTCCCTCCCCAATCCCTAAATCTGCAATTCCGCAATCCCCAAAAGGTCAGCAACACACTTGTAACTGCTTTGTTGTTGCGTGTGTCCATGGGCGGCGTTGATTGCTTACCATCAGGTAATCCGTCTGCTAGTTTGCCGGCTTACCACAAAAAAACGTGCATTAAATTCTAATTCTAATGTTATATTTTTTTTTAATTAATTATTTTTTACAATTTAGGTGTGAGCAGGTGTGAAAGCACAGTCCCATTAGAAACTAGTGGCGCTAAAATGATTTTGGCTCAAGACAAAAATAGTTTGAAAACTTTGTCCCAAGCTAGTCGTCTCATTGGCTGTGTTTAACTTTCTTCTTTACCAGAAAATTGGAATATTTGCTTAAAACTGTTCTTTATTAGTTCTGATCAAGAATTGTGCATAATTAAGACTTCATATTCAACTTCTTGGTTAGTCTATTTGAAGTAACTCTCATTTGTTGGCCGTATTGTTGGTTCATACACTTGTTGAAACTAGGTATATATTTTATTTAGGTTTCTTTTGGGAGATATGTGAAAATTAGTAGACGGATCTCCATCATCATCATCATCATCATCTAAACAGTCAAAACCTTCAGTAAGTGTCTAGTGCAGACCAAGGGCAATAGATGTGTCACGGCAACACACAACCTTATTAAATATCAGAGTATTAGAGCCTGTTTCATCACCTCCATATAAATGAAAAGCCGATACTTTTATGTGCTGTAACTTACTACCTAAGTATATCTAAAGAAAATCTTGTTACACTCAAAAACACACAACTCAAGAACTGCTGAACCGATTTCGTTGAGAATTGGTGAGAATGTAGTTTAGAAGAATTTGTGGGGATGTAGGTTCCAAATAACCACAAAAAGAACATAGGATTAGGGTAGAGTAAGTAGGTGTAGGTTAGGGTAGGTACTGTAGGGAAGGTGGAGTAGTGTAGGTAGTGTAGGTAGGTTACTAGGTAGGGTAGTCAAATAACGAGAGCGAAGCCAGGTGTAAAAGAAAATGTAGTTCATACAAATTACGTTCTGTATTAATACTTACCTGGCACATAGTCTTGCAACCTTAATAATAATAGGTCTTTTTTACCTATGAAATTGCCGTTCTGCAGTACTGGCCATTTCAAATCAAAAAATCAAAATAGTTTTTGTTAGGCTAAGGCTAATTAATTTTGTTTTAAAAACATGGGGTTCTTTTTCCAAAAGTAGTCATTTGTTTATTGATTAGTGTTACATTTCCATCGCATTTCAAATCAAAAAAATCGTTTAAATTTTTTCATGCAAAACGGCAATTTCATAGGTAAAGACCTATTATCCCAATCATCATTACTTACCAGCTGGAACAATTTGGAAGACACAAGGTTGCGCCTGTCTGCCCACAGTGTTGGTGCCGCGGCAGGTCAACGCGCCGTAGTCGCGCTCGCTGGCTGGTGTGTACCGTAGCTCGCTTATACTCCCATTTACTGTACCTGGGTTAGAATAGAATTTCAAATAGTTGAATACAGTTTTTAGAACTATTTTAGTAAAATATATTATGAAATACGAATTATGAAGAACAAATAAATAAATCTAAATAATCAAATGAAATCATTAAGGGAATTGAAGTGACCCAACCAGTTTAACACATAGTTGTAATCATTATTAATGGGAACAAGATTCAGTTAAAAATAAATAATTTTATTTTTTTCAAAACCAATAAGGAAATTACAATTTCATTATTTTATTTTACGACACATTTAATGAACCGATATCAAGCAAAAAAAAAATATAAAAAAATATTTTAAATTGATTGATTGTTTGTAACTATCTTAGTAACTATTTTAAATTTTGATTATAATTTCTTTTAAGATTTTTTTCAACATTAACACATTCTAGAATTTTCTCCAGTGTCGCGGGTGCGTTTAGATACAAATTTACGTTCACGGCACACCCAGACCCACGGAAAACAATTTGTGGACGTTGCACAGCAACCAGTTGGCTACCCACTGTGCCAACCGTAAAATCAAAAGGCCAACCATGCAGTCAAAGTCCGTAAACTATATTAATACAATCACTGCAACAAAAGTAAAGCAGCATCTGGGACTGACCAGAATACTAGATGTATAATAATTAGGTTTATTTAGATACAGTCGAGTGGGCAAGTGTCGCGCAAGTCGAGTGTTTGCAGCAAGTACTCGGGACAGTTCAATCAGCACCTCAGCATGCTCGTAGCAAACGCCCTGAATATGTAACGAACCGCACTTCGTAAATGGAATTTCTTTAAAAGACTACACGAACAATCTAAGTTTCAAAGAAAAAGATAATTTGTTACAAGGTACATAGGTATATTTTTCTTAACATTTCCTTGGTTGAAGGTTGAATAATTTTTCGATTTTGTGAAGTTTTAAATATGTTTTTCTATTTTTGTAATTATAGAATCAGGCGTCATTTTGCGGAAATCCATGACATTAAATTTTATGAAAAATATCTAGTTTTACCCTATGCAATCATGGATATGCGCGTGCAGCTAAGGTAACGTGCATATGCACAAGTGCAAAACACGGAAAAATATACCACGCAATCAAACCTATACCGGCTATCGAGGCAATATCTCCTGAGGATGCCCTGATGATGATGCCCTATTGCGTGGGATGTTTTTATGCATATGCATACAATCTTTGCCGCATATGCATCTCCATGATTGCATAGGGTGGGATTGCCTCCTGCAATAAGCCTGGCTTTTGACGTGGAATTAAAACTAGATTTTTTTTCATAAAATTTTGATGTTATTTTTCTAAATAAGAATGTTTACGTATGTTTATAACGACGATGATGGCGTGTGTACGTCATTAATAGTACAAACCGTATCTAGCTGGTGAAACGTTGAAACTCTCGCCGCTGTTATTGAACTGCCAGAGAAATGTGACGTCAGCAGGGTCGGCGTGCACTGAGCAGCGCACGCGCAATGCCTCGTCGAGCGCTGCACCCACCACTTGCGGTGACGTTTCACCACATACTGGAGCATCTATTGAAATAGCAAAGATATGATCGTGTCACTTTCCAACAATTTCACTGTTTCAAAATTAACCTTAATTTTTGTTTACCTACATTTGATATACATGTTTTCGAACATCAGATCAGAAATTCTGAAATCGATTAATTCGATATTCCAGTCTGTTAGATGCCAAGACGATGGCTTTAGCGAAAATATTATCCTGCCATAAAATAATGCAATCAAAAGATATTTTCCGTGTGTGACAACTTTGAGGAAGATTTTCCTATGCTACGGCTACGACGTAGCAGCGTAGCGGTAGTGTCGGCTACGCCGTCGCAATTGCATTACTGTTGTACTGCTGCCCCATATCGAATACGTTAATATCGAATTTCACCACTAATGTTATAAATAAACTTAATTTCACAAACAAAAAATATTTTTTACGTGCTAGGTTTTTCCGCATAACTTGGCTACAAATAGAAATGTCAAAATACTTATTTTTAGTAGTAACATAAACGCCCATTTAGATCACTTACCCAGAAGGTATACAAAGCAACGTTTACATTCAGATACCAAGACAAAGAGGCTACGTAATAAAAATAAATGCTTTGTTTCTTACAAATAAAATGAAAAATTGTTCTATTTACTTTCATGGCCAAATTACATATAAAATGTAACTTCGTTTATTTAAAAATATCTCACGAAACAAGCGTTCATATGTTTTCTGATTTTGTTTTCTGTACATTTAAAGATCGGGGTACTGATAATGAGCACATCGACTGAATATTCGCTGGCAAAATATCGTGAAATGGAAAAGGCCCAAGCCGGACGTGATGGGTATACTACAATTTGGAAACATTTGCATACTAGGCAAATACCCGGTACATCGTTAACTTTGCTGCCCCACAACGGCCTCCTAAATAACAAGCATAAAATATCCATAAATTTAAAAACTCCAACGACCAGTTTTCCTGTCATAAAGCGATAAATATAAATCAAATGAACAATTATTTCGGCAGTTACGAATTATTTCGTCTTCCCTCTCACGTCGGCAATTAAGTGTCGGCCAGTGGAGCTCGGAAGGAAGCTCCTCGATGCGCCAATATAGAATTGTGTAATAAATCACACCGTGGACGTTGTTGTTGATTTACGTACGACCATGTATAATCAACATATACCCTCTAATTATAATGGGATCCTGTGTTTTCCCAGTACGATGGATCCGTTTGCAAAGTTTTGAATTAATTACATTAGCGTAACCGCTTCCAAATCCATACGCTGCTGCTCTTTACATAATTTAATCTGAAAATGTAAAAATGATTTCATCTCCCGTTATTGAAAACGAATACGAATACGGCGAACCTAAAATACATAACAACCTTTTGTTTATTAAAATTTATTTAACTTCGGTAATTAGTAAAATTGTTTTGAATTCCACAAACGGAATTTCATTAATCGTCTCCGCTGATTCGTGAAACAAAGTCACAATATCCAGTTATAATATTTTGGATTGAAAGCAAGTCAAACAAGTAGGTGCTCAAGCATTAAAAGTAATGAACAAAATTGTCCTTTTACGTAACTCGACGTCATGGAACATTTTTTCATAGAAACGGAGGCGTATACGAGTTTTATTATTCAATAAATCGTTTCTCGGAATACTATCTTGATTTGTTTCATGTAAATAATTTGAGCATAAATCTCAACCGCTACGTATTACTGCTGAAACAAATGTATGCTTAGGATGGGAAATAAAATTTATTCAAACGATACAAAGGGAAGCCACGAAACAGCAGATTGAGGAGGTACGAAGAGAATCGTAGTAATATTAGACAATAATTTTGATGATTTACCGCCGGTGCCGCCTTCCCTCGTGCCAATTACTATGCGGACGGTCGGCCACGGAAGGAAGTTGGTACGTCGATCCCGACCGCAATCATTTGAATACTATTCGCAGACACGTCGGTATTTATAGGCCAGTAATTCATACTGTGCTCGGTGACATTTTATGGGATGCCTGTGTGTCCGATGTATATTACCGGGGATTAGGGATATGCAAATGAAGTGTCTTGTGTGCCCGATATAATTTGATGTCGCTACCTTCGTTTGAGTATATTGGGGAGGTAACATTAAAATATTAATACGTTAATATCGACCTATGTAAAATATAATTCATTCTTTAAATAATTATAAAAGCAAGTCAAAGGATTTGCTTCCGATTTGCTATAAAAGTGTATTAAAACCGGAAAAGTGCAGGAAAAGTTTGTCATAAAAAGAAAATTAAAGGATGTTTCCTTATACCGTACTAGCGCAAAGGGGCGCAGGCCCTCAGGCTTAACAAAAAGTACAAAGCGTGTCTGGGAGCGTAAATTCGTATTTGTCGTCAAAGTCACGGCTCAAACCTAACAAAAATAATATAATGTTGAAGTTTGCCGCTTGCTTGAAGCTCGCAATATTAACTGCACTCTCTTAGCTACTTTAATAAACAATACTTATATAGTGATTCTTTACAAAATATCACGATAATACACATTTATAAATAAATTGTAAATAATAGAGTGTACTTTATTATAAATATAGTTAAAATCTTTTCATCTTTATGAAAGTTATGAAAATCTTCTGAATACAAAATTTAAATGCAAGCTCAATTTTCACCTCTAGTTGACAATAGATAAGTATCCATTTTATATTCATACTTTTGGTAACTATATTTTAGACAAGAAAAAAGGTCATTAACGTGTTATTTTTAGTTTTATTGGTGTAAGGTTTACTTACATTGAACTCTCAAGGTCACGACTTTGCTAGATGTCTCCCCTCTTGCGTTGGCCGCCTTACAGGAGTAACTGCCAGCTTCCTTCCGCGTCACTTTCTGTAGGACGAGCGACCGCGTGCTGACTATAATGCCTGAAGTCATGTTTTGACTAACTGGCCTATCCTGCAGAACATTCCACTTGTGTTACTTAAGATGCAGGCACATAGAAGAATGGAGACGACATGAGCGATTTTTTCTACACTGTAAAATGTGGGAAGTAAAACAATTTTATAACGATTATTCGTATAATTAATTAAAAATATTAGAAAACTATTTGAATTTCTATATTACACGGCGTATCTTCCTCAATATTAATTAAACAACAGATTTGTTTGTTGAAATTAATATAAAATACCAAATCTAAACAGAAAGATTTTCCCTTAGTAAACCAATATAATAAAATCAAGCAAACATTACGAAGAACGATGAATAGGAAATGCTATAAAATTGCGAACTGCAGCCGATTTCGCTTTACGAGCTTCAAACAAATTTAACTAGCACTAACGAGAGCTATAAACTGTATGCAAACGACGCGTTTTTCTAATCTTATAAAATGGCTTAGCCATACTCTACAAATAATTACTTGGTAATTGAACTCGATTAAGTAAACATTTTTCTAGAAAATTTAATGAGAATGTTGAAAAGGATTTGTACAAAACCAGTCAAATGTTTCACATTTTAGGATAAAACTGGAACTACGCATTAGTAAAATACACGAAAACTCTTCATTTAAAACTTGAGTCATTATAATGTTCTCTCATTATTTCGCCACTGTTCTCGTCTCCCATATTTCGGTGCAGCCCTAGCATAATATCAACAATTAATAACTTACGTTATGGAACCAAGAGATGCGATGTTCTCTAGGGTTGGCGCGCACGTTGCACTCAAAGTACACGTCGTCGCCTTCCTTGATGTCGTGAGGGTTGAGTGTACTGCCGAGCGTCAGCGACACTAGGGGACTGTCTGGATTCAACATTTATAATATTAGTTGACAGAATATTGCACAAACAACGTACATTACTTGGGACGCTTTTAGATTTATGACCATGTATTTTCTTGTTTCAAGTGATACGCACACTTGGGTGTTGTTAAAGCAAATATTTCTACACTTTATTTAACACTCTTAGATTTGTGCCTTTCATTTTGATTGTGGTATACTTACTAAATTGCATAACTTTTTTACATCGGACACGTTTTATGTTCACACAAGAATTCGTTTTTTATAATCACACTTTAATAATATACAATTTTGAAATACCTATACACAACCAACATATTTTGTACGTTATACGTGCGTATTTTACAAAAGATTTTTTATTTCCTAATTTCAATGAAAGAATAAAAAAGTACTGACATTTAATATCGTTTTAATTAAGCATAAAAACAAGGATTACAAACACAAACGTAGGTAACAAGAAGTAATATGCAATGTAATTAATTAAATTCACTACAAACTTTGTAATAAAACAAAGCTAATATAAGACAGAAATGTTATCACTAATTATATTACTCACACTGCTAAGGGAAATTAATTTAAAGTCCAATAAGCTGAGATATTCGCTATTAGCTGTTGTCCCGACTGTCCTACGGGATATTTATCACAATATTATCAAAGAAAACTTCTTGGAACTATATTAATTTTATACTGAGGACTAGCTAAAGGATTATTAGAAATTGATTCAATGCTGAGCACGATAGTAAGTGCTCTACTGTTTGGTACGTAGTACATACCTAAAGTTCGCTTTGAAACCTTGTTATAGTTGATGAAATTAAATTGTTCGTTGCGATACAATTTAATAAAGCGTTCAGTGTTATGGTTCGCGACATATTTTGGAAATTACGTCAATGGAGTGTGTTAATGTTTTAAATAAATATGAATTCAGTCTGTGTTTATATGTATAATGAAAATGAATTAGCAGTCATCATTTTTATAGATGGGTGAATATCATCATTCTTTCTATCCCTGGGTGGGGCGAGCGTTAGAATCTTACTGACTAAAATACATTCAGGTCTTTCTTCTGCTCCTGGCCAAGGCCGTGGAAAATTATTGCTTATCCGCAACCCCGGCTGAATTAGCAGCAATCGTCTAAGTTTCCTTTTGTATTGGAAATTAAGATTATTTTTTCTTCAAAATATAGCAAGCCGATTTGCTTTATACTTTTGGCCTCTTTACATGCTATTTAAAAGGCCATTGTATCTTAAAATAGTTATATTGCTCCTTCATTTTATTGTATGAGGATGAAATGCAAGTCAATGACAATAAAGAAAGAAAGAAATTATTCGCAATAGGTGTAACACAAAGCCGAATGGACGAACCATTTTCCGAAGAACTTACATAAATCATAATACTTACATACAACGTTGAGCTGTATTTGGTCGTCTATCGACTTGGTAGGTAAGCTAGGGTTGGCAGCTACGCATTTGATGATAGCTCCATTGTCAGCAGGACTCGGACTAAACACCAACGTGCTGACCGACCAAGTCTCGTTTGAATGATCAGTCACCTGGGGAAGATGAAATAAGCATATACTATTATTAAAAAAATCCAAATCCTTCCCCTCCCCGTCCTCTATCCTCAAATCTATATCGCTATCAGTAAATACCTTATAACTCACAAGAGGACGACAAATCACGTGTAGCTTCTTTGGCTCCTTTTTTTTTGTGAGGGGAAAATCATCAAATGGCTTCTCCCGCCCAGGGTCGGGCGGGAGGGAGTGTCTTACTGACTAAAAACCCCCCTGTTCCTACTCCTGCTCTAGAGCTCCTTTGGCTTCTAAGCTCCTGTTACAAATGTCCATGGGTAACGCCGATTGCTTACCATCAGGTAATGCGACGTTTTGCTAGCTGACCTATGACATTAAAAAAATGTAAAAAAGTTGGTTCTTATGCGGGTTTATCTGAATCTGGAAATACCAGTTGTTTTTAAATAAGATTTTGACAAAGTTAAAGATAAATAGGAAAATAGTTCTTAACTTTTGCATCTAAATAATTTATAGATTTGATCCTCTAGTGAAGTATGGATTTTGGAATACTGAGGTAAGTATTGTCTTTGTTATATTTAACAATGCGCTAATAGACTAGTCTATTGCTATATTAGTCAAACAATCAAGAAATTACTTGCCAAAACTATCCACAATATCACAAGATATTACTCGTATAAAATATAGAAGCAAATTGAATAAATTTTTGAATTTGAAGAATGGTAAAAAAGATGGTTTCAGACATAACTGCAATTCGAAATTTTAATATTATGCTGAGCACGTAACCGCCGCCCTCTCAGATTAATAGAAATGTTCGAAGCTAAAATCTGTTTTAAATAAAGATATCAGATAGAATGTTATTAAGCCACAACATACCGGACACGAATGGAGCTACAATTAATCCGAATATTGCACTTTAATGAAACTTTATTGGAATTTCTACGACGGACGAAAACTCATTCGAAATTGAGATTGCAGATAAAGTTTCAGTAAATCAGACGCTTGCATACAACGAATGCGATATTTCAGTGAAACTCGATATAAATCGTGTAAAAAGTCACAAACGGATTTGAAATAGTCCCATTTCTGTAAGCTATTGTATAAGCTGGGACGGTCGCAGCGCAATTAGTCGAGCGCTAAATCAAAGTCCATCAGTGACCGAATCCGAGTATAAAACGCGACAATCGATTTAAAAGCCACAGTGCGTGCTTAGCTTTAGAATGGAAGTTAATTGAGGGATTACCTGCCGCGTTCCGCTCAAATAAGACCACTGGACGTTGAACAAATTACAAGTAACTGTACATTTTGTGAAACGAATTTTTACCACATTCGTTACTAAAAGATTAACATTTTTTAAACTTTTTCATATTTTTACTGGAACGTATGGCGTACATTATTACTGGTTTTGTTCATTTTAATCTCGTGTTTTATTTTACGTAGTTTCAGTTAGCGTGGAATTGAATGAGCAAAGTGAAGATTCGAGTAACAAGAGTGAATATAAACAGCACCTGGCGTGGTTAGTTCGTGGATGTTTGACTATTATTTATAGGTTTCGTTGAATGCAAAGTGGTCGGTCTAGCGATTAGCATACAGCGTTGACATTGGGTACGGGTCAGTCACCGACTTAACCATTGAAACGATGGTAGAAAAGAATTCAATTTAGGATATTACATCGAATACAGATTTACTAGTCTTTGTTATGAAATAAATAGAGGATCCTTAAAATTCCGTCGTCGAATTTTGCATTCACAATGGGAAAATAGTCGTTGAATCCAGACGGTGTGACCACGACCGGTCTTAGAAAAGGGATCACGTAGTGTCGGTCAGAGGACGCGTCTTCCGGACAAACGGATTGACCAACTCAACTAGACACAAAGCCAGAACGGTGTGAATAGAAGCAAATTAATACTAAGTGTGTCGGTGTAGCTTTTGTAAGGAGGTTATATTTGTATTCTTGATTATAAGGCATTTGTTCGAATAAATTTTATGTTGAAAATAATTAATGTTTAAATTTTCTTATACGTATTAACATAAATATATACCTAATATAATATATTTCGTTTTTTTTATTAAGGAACTGCACTAGTAAAAAAACAGTCTTGTGCCACATTGCGCTTACCCCGCGTCCCCGGCTATCGTAAAGAAACCTAGGCTTATAATTTCAAGTTCTTAATTTGAGATCCCTAATCTGCGCTTAGTAAGCATGGTCAGTAATGCTCATTCCTTGAGCAAGAGGCCTTTGCTCAGAAAAGGACACCAATCGACAGATGGTGATAATGGTCATAGCATTCAAAAAAGTGCCCATCACGTGGCGTAGGGACGTTCCTAGGGGCTGATGTTTGATTACAACGGCTGTAAAAATAATATAATTAACACACAATTCTATACCCGTGGGAAGAAAGGTGTGAATTACGTCGTTTTACACTATAAAACCCTTATCAATAATTTGTCAGATAGTTTGAAACATTACATATATATCACTATGAATGCTTCAGTATATTATACATTTTAGTGTATGGTATACATAGAACTCAATGGTTTTCATTTAGTTATTATTACAAAATTTGGCTTGACTTCCGACTTGAATTAAATGATTATATGCAACCAACTTTTAATATTACTCATGGCATAAACTCGTAGTTGTATAATCTATTAACGAGACAATTAAATAAGGTGTATCACCTGCCAAAACGTAAATTCCTTTTTTATATCAGTTATAAAAATCGATTTTATTTTGGTGTAAGAATGAACTGTAATGGATTGATTTTTGATTTAAATGTTATTTTTCACTATATGTAACTTTTCGCTTCGTACTTTTTTGTATTATAATTTTTGTGTCCGTCCCAAAATTACAAAAAGTCAGACATGTTTGTTTTTCGCTCTTATTTTATACCGTAACAACCATTATGTTACATATTCACACAATACATAGGTAAGTCTTTTATTGACTTCAGTTTTGCAAATACTACCATAAAACTTACCATATTTCTGTCAAAACTTCTGTTGTCCTTATACCACACTATCTGAGCTGGTGGTCTACTGCCTTCTGATACACATCGAAGAGTTGCTGCTGCAGCCGACAGTAGCTGTTGTGGCCGGTTTAGTAGAGATACTGACAGTGGAATCACTGGTGAAAATAAAAAAAGGTAGATGAGTCCAGATTAATCTTATAAAAACATATGACAAACAATGTCTGTAATTTAGGAATTAAAATAAAAATAAATAATTCGACAGACTAAAGAAAAAAATCGGGAGAACTCAAAGTCAAAGTCAAAATCGTTTATTCCATATTTCGTGTAAGTACTTTTAAAACGTCGAACTAGAATAACAGTAATGGCAGTATGTTTGTCAGTGAAGCTGTCAGTGATACCCGCAAAAGGTTCACGTTATATCCAGTTGTAATAATCTAGAAAAATGTTAAAAGCTACTCATAAAATAAACATCACGAAACTTAATGATATATTTAAATAACAAAACTCCGCAATATACGTACGTGGTCTTGTAAATTCTCTAATAAATTAATGTAGTGATTTGCATTATTTAAAAAGGTCCAACCTTTTGGATGTCTAAAGAGGTTTAAAAAATCATCTGTTTAACAAACCACTTTATTAGTCCACATCGTTCGTCTAGACCAAGACAAATTCATTTAAATTACACTCTAAAATATATGGGATTATCAAAATATTTAAAGCGACCCCCGTCCAATGAAACTTCGAAATTACTTTGTGGAAAAAACATTCTGTGATTAATGTTCAAAGGAATGCTTTTAAATTGTGGTTTTATGAGAAAAAAACAATTTTGTACATTTTTTTCTAAATACCATTATGTATAAATAATTTAATAATACCAAAAACTTTGAATAGGTATATTTTCTCTTGACAATATTTTGCGCTAATTATGCTCTAAATTACAAAAATATTTTTGATTTTTTAAGTATTTTACAGTTCAATCATTTAACATGGTTTAGGGACGAAAACATACCTCAAAATGTTTATGTCGGCGTCAAATAAAACATTTATAAATGTTGTGCAAAATTAAAAAAGATATATTAAAAGAACATGTTTATCATTGCAAAAAGTATTTTAAAAAGCATAATAAGCACAATTCGATATCAACCAACGCAAAGCTATATTTTTTTTAAATTAACGTAGAGGCAGTGAAAAAACATCTAAATAACTTTTCAACGTCTTTTTTAAAAAAAATGTCTGTAGTTATAAATGTCAGTCATAGTGAAATGTTCCAGACATCTTTGTAATACAACATTACAGATAAACTGACAGACAGATCAAAGGCCAAGCAGAAATAATCTTAGAAATTAGCAATTTGCTTCTGTAGATTTTTAAGTGTAATTACTAACTAGATAATATGTTTAGCTGGTGCGAATTCTGATATTAATATAGTGTGTTTAAAAGGTCAGTGGAGTAGCCGTAGGTCCGTTAAGACTAACATGATACTATACACTATTCTGCTAAAATAATGGAACATTTCCTCAGTGTTTATAGCTAATGCCCTGACTCTAAGCTAGTTCTGAAACTGAATAAAACGTTCCGAATATTCAAAATGGAAACTGCGGTGAAACAATAATCTTATAAACAAGCCCAATTTTCCGTAAAGTTCACACAGAAATCCTGAATTCTCAATCAATCCAATAATAGTGTATTATTCTTTTTATTTTACAAGGCGGTAAATGAGCTGACGGACGCCTGGTGCTAAGCAATCGGCATCGACCCCTAACACCAGGATTTGTGTTTCTTTGGGGGCTAAGGATTTAAGGATTTTAATATTGCGGATTTTGGTGAGTTTGGGATTGGATAGGGCAAGATTGGACCTCCAGTAACTTAACTCCCATCGCGACGCTACAGCTGTTTCGTGCCAGTTTTCTGTGAAGCCAGTCAGTTTGTGCCAAAAGACATACTGGGAAAGTAATTTAGTACGGCAGCTTTTTAGGCTAAATTATAGGTTGATCGATATGTTTGCATTGCAGTTGCAACATTTTTTTTTTTATATATAATGTTCATTAACAAATTAGTTAACAACAATATACATGTGAAATGGTGGTAGAATCTGTACTCGTAAGCTCATCTACGGTTATACGGTTATACGTAAGACACGGCAAAATTCTACGGTGGCAAAAATCTATTTTTACGCTAAACAAGATAATGCTAAACTTGTCACATCAGGATAGCTAAACAAAAACTAACATTATTATAAAGATCTTACGGTTCATCTCAAGCCTGACGACTTTTTCTTGTGGAGGGACCAAGTTTGTATTCGAAGCTCGGCACTTAAACGTAGTATTTAGGTCTTCTCTCTTCAAATGCTGCAACTCTAGCCGATTGACAATCACGTGTGTGTCTGTCTTAACTCCTATGTATTGGGAGGCTGGCGTCCCGTCTATCCACCACGATACTGTTGGCTCCGGGCGACCTAGGAACGGAAAATAATAAATAAGAAATACATGAAACTTTTGTTGTATATACAACAACAAACAAGACACCCAAAGTACCCAAAGGAAACATCTTAATATTATCCGTTTTAAAAGCCGTAAACATGTTAAAAGCAATTATTTTTACTTTTGTGTACATTTCACATGGATTAAGTTAGGAAATGGTCTGAGACGATATGGAAGTAAAATTTTCGGCAACATAATTAAGTGTGAGTGTGATAACAGGGTCAAAGCCTAAACTCCCCCTGTCCGGCCCGCTGCATCATCACAATTGGTGGGCGCACGGCCGAAGATAATCCGTTGCGAGCACTGGCTCGAAGCCAGGCGGCCATACTGCGGACTTTTCAATGAACCCATTCGAATGGAATATCTCTTCCAATGTTTCCATAAAAGAAATCAAGCAATAGAAAAAATTGAGCTCCCCCAATGTTCAATATTTTTGCGACGGTTTTAAGTAAAGCGCCGAACTGAACTAAATTATTTGTTGCACGAGATTTGAAAAAAAAGGTTTGATCTTTTTTCAAGCAAAAAGAAGCAGTTTGTTTACACTGTTTTATATAACACACAAAGTTAAGTTAACAAACATTAAAATTCTTAACGCTTAAATCAAAATTGATTTCGCATATTTGCAAATGGATCCCAACATTAAAACAACAGTCGATAAAACATCCAATAAAATGTAAAAGTGTGGGTGTTATTAACAAAATATATATGTGTGTACACGGATATGGCGATATTAAACTTTTGAGCGGTGAACCGAGCTGTGTAGAATGTCAATACGTGGTTCATAACACTGTTTCGTTATGTATTATGATGTTCGAAAAAAAAGTAATATTTTTATGACACATTCAATAAACCAAATCTAGTACTAACAAGAATATTTCAGAATCAACATCCGGCCTATTGTAAATATTATGACGCCCTTCAATTTCCAATATGTGTTAGAAAAGCGGAAAATCTGTCATAAAAACATGATTTTATGTTGTAATATTTAGGATATTCCAATACTATATTTTTTACTAACTCGGTGCCTGAAGATAATTCTTGTGGTTAGGTGCGTAGATAAATTCAAATATCAAATAATAATGCTAAATAATTGAGTCTTACCTCCCCGTACTTCACACACTAATACCAAGGCAGCTCCCTCCTCCAATGGCCCCACCACGCCAGACACATCCGCGCCAGACTTATCGTACAGCAACATTTGATGAGGAGGCACTGTGACAAAAACCCACATGGAATATAATAACATCGTATCTCAATCTTCATCATAATAATATCAATAGGGGAATGAAAACTGAGGGCGCGATCGCTCACGATATTACCAACGAACGGCAGATTTGATTATTATTTGACGCCATTAATGAACACCCTCCGTTCTCAATGGTAATTGGATATTTTATGATGTTATGAATATGCCTGATTATGTAAGTAAGAGATTTCTTTGTGTGAGCAGTCCCTTTGCTAACAAAAGGCTCCTTGCAAATTACCTCTCGGCGCGAGCAGACTAATGGATTTCAATGGAGTTGCATATATGCGATGTAGGCTTACTTTTAAATGCTTTGTTCTGCGCAAAAGAAATTTACTTCCCTCATCTCCTTTGCCTACGTCTTTCGTCGCCTTGAATAGGGTAATTTCTTTGAAAAGCTCAACGGTAGTTTGCTCGGCATTTTATAGGCCATGTTTATATTTTTATGTTCTCCGCCGGTAATATTTCTCAAGAATACGGTTTCGCTACCATTGAGTAAACCTATTAGAGTAATAAAGGTGAAAAGATATGCTATAGTTGACTACATTATTAAACTAATTATAGTGATAGTGTAAGAAATAAAATAACTGCATTCTTGGTAAACACCAAAAAAGCAATATAAATCGAAGAATGAATACAAATAACTAGTAAGTCATTTTGTAATTCAGTGAGCCATTTCCGTCTAACGTTTTAATAAGCAAATAAAGGGGATCAGCACGGGGCGGCAGACTGATAACGCTCAGACAATTTGATCTATTCAAATCTAATTTCCTTTTAAATTTAACCTGTCTCCTGCAGATTTTATCTGTGTCATCGTCGGCGGGCATCGTTTTTATCAGCGAGGCAGCTGAGCAACCCCGCCGATCCCGAGTCGACAGTTCATAATTAAAATGTCTGCGCGATGTCATCACTCGGCGACCGCGCGCCTCCCGCGATTCGCCGTAATGACTAAATTGATTCCCAGTCGTCGCCTAATAAAATTTTCATTTAAAACTTAGTCGATTTTTATTATAACGAGATCGTCTTGTCCCGCGCTTAAAAGCTCGGTACTGCTCATAATAGCATTTATAAATTACTCCGTTTATAATCAAATACACAATTTTACAAAGAACATTTCGAAACTTGTTTGTTTAAATAAAATAATGTTGTATTTCAAATAATGAATCAACCCGAAGGGAAGGTTCACCTAAACTAACAGCTGAAGGGTAGCGATGGTTCTGAGTATACATAAAAAACAAGTCTGTTCTAGACTGATTTAATTTCGCTATTCAAATTCTACCTGAAATTAGACAGTTACTTTGATCAAGTAGTTTTGTTTGCCGCTAATTCTGTTTGGTTAGTTTCATTAAGTGCTCTTTGCTTAACTTTGTTTCATAAACTACGCACGTCTTAGATTTTGTCTACGAACTTACCTATTACAGTTAGTCTGATTTGGAAGTTTCTCGTGGGCGAGTTCTTGAAGTCTACTCTACACCGGTAGACGCCCTCGTCGTCTAGTTGTACGGAGCTGAGGGTGAGTGCTGCTGGTCGAGCCACTGTTGCGAAGTACGCTCGAGGTCCAAACGCGCCCGGGTCTGACCATTGTAGCGCCTTGTTGAAAGACCGCCCACGGACGTCGAAACTAAAATAAAGATTAATTTAGCTCCAAAGGATTTCTACAAATGTAAACAACAACATGATCAACAATGGGATTGAGCTTCTAATTATATTCTTATCAAAATAGATCTTTATTGAATACAAACGAATTGGACCTAACATTTTTAGCGCCTAAGAAACATGCGATGTTGGGTCACCAAAACAAAATGTTATCCTGCTTTCAATTTCTATAAAGAAAGACTTTAAAAATCTGCTTATCTATGTTTAAATTCTCCTCAGATTAGTTCTGAGGTAAAGTTATAGCTTTATATCTCATGAATTAATCAAATTTTATTATAAGATGGGGTTGACTGATGAATTGAAACAATCCAGACAAATGTATTTTGATCAAACAAGGAGTAGTATCAGCTAGGGTTGCGGTTAAAGATAGTACGCAATAACGTACCGCAGACCAGGAAAATAACACTGTGGTTTTGTTTTTAGTCAGTAAGAGTCTGACACTCCTTTTTACCGCGCCTAGAAAGAGAGAAGTCATTTGATGATAATTATTATTCCCTCAAAAATCTTATTACCACCAAATCCATACGATATCATATTCTAGTAAAATTAGACACGAATATGCACACGCTTGTCAAAAAAAAACGTAATAAACAATCATAAGCAGCTGTATAGTCCGTGACTGAATTTATTTTCCTTAAATAACTGTCGATGTCTAGAAATAAAAGAACGGCCGAACACGATGAAGTTTTTCAATTTCCGGACAGGCTACATTTTCTCAATCTACCGAACTCCGTCCTAATTTATAAAGCAAGAAGCTTTGAGAGAGATGATTTGATAGTACCCTGCTGTTCCCAGGTAAATTTAACGATTCGAGCACGCAGTTTATGACGGTATTATCTCTCCAAAGTATTCGTTTCGCCCTATGGCTGATATAAAATAGCAATTATAAACAATTCTAAGGATATAATGGCGATTTTATCTACACAACTGTTTTGGTTATGTAAGCAGTTGTTCGCTGTTCCCAGTTTATTACGCGAGACGGTAATAATGTATACCCGGTTCGCGTAAAGGATGAACAAAATTAATTGATACTTAAATAAATGTTTACTTAATTTCTTTGAGTTGCTTGAGACAGGAAATTAATAAACTGATTGCTTCTTGATTTCTTGATTAAAATTTTCTTTCGTTCATTCATCTTCGTGCCTTTACGTTTTGTCCTTGTCAAATGACTCCACTCGCCCTGGGTGAGGCGAAAATGAGAGTTAGACTCTTACTATCTAAAACCCAACCCGTTCCTTCTTCTGCTCCAGGCTGAGGCTGCGGTACAATTTTGCACTTGCCCCGCAACCTCAACAAAAATTTAGGATTACGATGTCGGGCTTTCAGACTTAGTATAGGATGAATAATACGTACTTAAACGTAGGTACGTATATTATTCCGAAGGGGTTGTAAACAGCAGAATCAAATTAACATTTTAGTATACCGTGTTTAAATATGTAGGTACAAAAAACACTAAAAAAAACACATGTATAAAATGAGTAAACCAGTGAATGACTTGAGAGCACACAGCATAAGGACATTGATGGAAAGTCCTCGGACCGGCATCGTCAAGTGTGATTTCCTTAACGAGAGCTATGACATCTTAAGTGTGTTTCCCTGTACGGTGTAGGTGTGTTTCAAACGCTAATTGGATCGGTCGTGCTCGGCTTTCGTTCATCCGTTTAAGGTACCGAACGGTTCATTAGGCCCGACTCTATGCTATTAATTAAATACGTATTCACAAAGTTTTTGTAAGGCTCTGCCCAACTGGAATTAGCGTTGAGACTATCTGTGTTTTCCAACTTGGACTCGCTTATAAAACTTGGGATTTTCCGGCTTTAGAATCTTTGCTGTTTCATCTAGTGATATTGTTCTTTAATTTTGTGTTAAGTGACAGTTCTTTTATTTTTATTTCGAAACATAATTTGGCTTACAATGTATGATTTTATATTAACATACCAAACGTCATGTAAATTTAACATTTTTCGTTCATGCACTTTATATCTTTACTTGTGAAGGACAAGCTAGTGTTAACTTTAGTTTTGAACCCTAAAACGCCCTGGCTTGGACGGAAGGGAGTGTCAGATTCTTATTGATTAAAACCACCCGTCCTACTCGAAGCCAGGCAGCATATTATTGCGCTAGCAACCGTAACCCTAGCTGGATACTGGGTCGCGGTTGTGCTCGGGTCTGGTTTTCCGGAGATCCACTTCGATCGTGAGGAAACCTGGACTTTATTCCCATTCACTAGGTTCTTATATCAACCATTTGTCGCCATAAGTAAACGAAAACAAAAAGGCGTTTCAAAATAAATGGCTTCGTGTGAAAGCAACGATACGACACATTAATTAATTAATACGCATTTTTGTGTGTCTGTTCATTAAGTCAATTCTTTAGTAATCCATTAATTAAATGCGGTGAGTAATTTATACCGAATACATTATTTATATGGAAGATTTACAACGAAGCATTGTATGTTTGTTATGATTGAAGTAATTAATAATAATATATTTATGTACATAAATAGTAGTTGGTTGCGAGTAAATGTGAGTGCGGTGCTTATTTATAAATAGGAGGCAATTTCGAATCATAATTTTAAAACAAACATATTGTAACAAGTTGAATAAGTAATTCGCTAACGGTCCAAACGCCTAATCATTTGATTAAATGAATGCTTTTTTAATGGTTTGAGTATATAGCGGCAAACGAGCAGGTACAGGTCCCCCCCTGATGGTAAGCAATTGTTGCTACCCATGGACAGCCGCAAAACAAATGCGTTGCCATTTGGGGGTTAGGGATTTGAAGAATAGGGAACCGGGGATTGGAGATGGCAAAGATTGGGTCTCTTCACTCACGGGGCGAAAGAACGCTGTGATTGTTTTTGTTGAGGTCCTGGTAACTAAATAAGTAGCTACCAGAAATTGTACTACGATATCGTTTATTAAACAGGCTAGGCCGTTTACAGAATGACCAATGGATCTAATTAGTTGCGACACTAATAAAATCTCGCACATTACATGTACCTAAGTGTGCGTGTTTGTGAGTGTGTATGTGTGTGTGTGTACAAGTGGCTTTGATACACCTTAATGATTCTTAGATAAGTACTTTAATTGCGTCCCCACAGTTTACGCATTAACACACACATAAATGCTGTTATGTCAGTATCGATCATTATCTCGACTTTATTTAATAGATATTAAATAAAGTCGAGATTCACATTCACATTTAACACTATTAAAACAAAATTTTACTACTACTTTTACTTATATTTCACACATTACTAACTTCACATATAAATTTCACACCAAATTCATAAAAATATAACATTCATTCAGGTCATTTTTTACATTTCAAAAAAGATAAGGTTGCATTTGAAAATTTGAAATTGCGTATCCCTATTATAGCTGTGAAACTATGTGTTCGTTAGCAAGCATAAAACAAAACAGAAAATCTATCCTACTTAAAAATATTATATTAATAAAAATAATGCACGTCAGTAACTATTAGCAGTTATTTGTAAAACGAATCGTACTATCTGGCAAAAACTAAGTAATGCTACGTTTTAAGTTTTAAGTTACAGAAGTCTTCCATCCGAAGCGCCCTCTAGTTTATTAAGCTAAAAGTTAGAATTTCGATTCCTTACAAATTTTTCCTGGATAATAACTTATGTATGGGCTTTTAGGTTAATTCACTACCCCATCTACTACGAAAGACGCCAAGGACAGTATTTTAGGTGCGCTCATTTTACTCCTCATTATTCAGAAAGTGGAACGTCTACCTGACGGACGTTTTGTCGTTCATAATTTTTTTACTTAATGAATTCTATACTACGTTTTACCGAGAGAGTTAATTAACACTCTATATAGTATTACAAAAATGACCATAAAACGCAACAAAACAATTTACTTTGCAAATTTCCACGTATTAAGTAGAAAAAACTTCATCTTTAAAAACAGTATCAAAAGCATAAGTGGCGCCAACTCAAGTGAACTAATATGAACCAAAAACACAGTTTACTCTGTATCTTTCCTACTTACATCAATCAATTACATATATATTTATTACTTACCTATATATAGGTTTGCCCCCACTTTTCCGGAACCACAGCACCATATAGACCCTGTCTTCATTAGTGTCGGGAGTGACGTCACAGGGGAGAGACGCCGTACGTCCCAGTACCGCGTCCACATCCACCGTCGACACTGCAACAATGAACATGTTCTGTTATTATAACAATAACCGTATCAAGTTGCACGTAAGATCATATGCTGCGCAACTATTTGACATATAGATATTCTATTCTCTACAAATAGATCCGATATATACGCATAGTTTCGATAGAATAGAATTTATCCGAGAATTCGTTCACAATTTTACTCGCGCGAATTCAAGCTTTTGTAAGAATTTTGTGAGATTATTTCTGAGTAAACATTTGCTTAACATGAACGATAGGTAAGCAAATAAATGCTTTGTACAAGTATAAAATCAAAATCGATGTCTTTGGCTTCAAGTATTTGATCCAACTAGGCATTTAAGGTAATAATTTTTAATCCGGGAAAATCGTAATTTATTCAGCCTCTTTTATGCACAGAGCGACTGGTGTCCCCTTCAGCCCTTAGGGAATTTCGCAGTTAAATTCGCACCTCTAATCCCTCAGTCACCTCTACGTCAACAAGAGGGAATATCCTATTGGATCTCTTCAAATTCTTTAGGTTATTTCGTATAAATCTATGTCAAGATTTCAAGTTATTGTTCCATTAAGATTTTTTTTAGTAAACCGGACGTTATTCTGTAAAGATAAATAGAGTTCTATATTTCATTTCTTTATTTATAAGACTACAAATTTTAGGTGTATTCTAAAATAAAATATTTTGATATAATTGAATGTCTTATTCCACAGGTAAAGAAAGGAATCTAAGCTGTGCCAGTTGTCACAGTTGTTGTTGTACTTCAGACAATACCTACTTGACGTGCTTAGAAGCACTGATATTGCCTCAGTCCCTTTACCCAATCATCTAACGATACCTTCCTAAGGTGTTCGTCGAGGCATTCATATTTTTTTTATAGCAATACAGTATAAATGATTTATAAAAATAGTTGAGAGTTCAAAAAAGAATTGCTTATGTAAGTACCTACAGAAGAAATGAAGTTAAATATTTTGTCATTACCTTTTCATCCAGTTCATTTTATGTATTACAGAAGAATGACAACGTCTAGGACAGCACATTTGCATTAAGAAATGATCCAAAAAGAACGTTGAAATAAAATTTATTACACCCTTGATAAAAAATAACTCGGAGCATAAGGCACTTTCAACGATTTATAAAAAAAAATAAGGAAGAAAAAAAAGTAAAGAAAAGAATCCCCTGTGTAATACATTTATTCATTACGGAAATAATTTAATGAAAACTGAAGGAAATACACTGCCATGTTTTATTTATTTTTCTTGAAACAATTACGGCTTGTGGACTAGACAGCGACTTTTTCTAAAATGTGAAAATAAAATGTCTAGTTTTAGTTTAGTGAAAGTTTTAAAGCTAAGTCTGAACAAGCGCTTGACTGACATGTATTTTGCTAACCAACTTTCCAAAACTTTATAACTACGTAGAGTTTACGTAAAGTGCTCATGAATTACTTTTTATATAACACCTGGTAGGTATTTTTATTAAAATAAACATTCTTACAAGTAACGAACATGAAATATTATTATTTTTAACCTATCTACTTTGTTCCCAAACGCGTGTTTTAGTTGCATATTTAAATAAGCAGTTTCTTTGCGCTACTACCAATATTTCAAATGAATGAATTATCTTAAAGTACATTGCTGGGGAATGCAATTGTATTCGAGCTGCACTTCAAGCTTAACCAGTAATATAAGCAATAAGATACCATTGCTCCTTAGGATTTGTCTGAAATTTGTTCACTGCATACAAAATGTACCTATCAGGATGTAAGCTCAATCTTGCAGAAAAAGTGAATTTCGCTTGAAGGTCATTCTATATAAAGACGAAATTCATGTTTACCTGTTACTAAAAATAATATTTATTTATATATCCTTTTGAGTCTATATCCCCGAAGGAGTGACCTGGTTTTCTTCAAGGCCAGAATTAATAGGTAGTTTGTGGATGAGCTTGCTCTATCGTAGGTAGCATCATCACCTACCACCAGGCAAGATAGATGCCAAAAGCCCGTTGCAAATACAATAAATATTGATATTTTCCTGACCTAATTAAGCGACGTATCTGGCCGGTATAATTGCTTCCTTAACTCAAGTCAAGGACAAATATTCGGCGGCCTATTGACTAATTAGTTAATTTGTTTATTGAACGGTAAAGTGACAGCATCAAACAAGTCAGGGTAACGTTTAGATTGAATCGAACGTGTTGGTAGAAGCGTGAACCTTGAATAAAGCGATGTGATCATTGATGAGACGGCAATTAATTGCTGATATGAAGAGAATTATTATGTTGTAGTACAGAGTTTAGTGTAGTATTTATATTTATGATCATAATTGTATATTTGTACACTAGTTAAATAACTTATCTTTTTCTAGTTGGCAAAATCGAGAGTTGTGTAAGAATAAGACTGTGTTGTGACGTAATGGTTTTTTCATCGAATAGCATGCTTATTTTATAAAAATCAGGCTACAGGTTGTAATTTGTTTTTATTTTTTTAATGTTTCAATGACAGCGAGATTGTTTTGTGAAATTGTATTGCATTGAAAAGTAATTTGACTGAGAAAATTATCCAATTATTAATTTAGAAATTCCATGAATTAAACTTTTATTATTGATGCAATAAAAGACCGCTGAACTGAAGTCATCCGCGATACTAGAAGAAGTACAAATTCGTCCGTATGACTTTAAGTTTGCAAAAATAAACTAAGATTCAATTGTATACGTCTCAGATCATCTCTAACTACCGAGTCTGTTCATTCAAACAAAGAATTTCAAAGTAGGTTCAATAAAAATCGTTTAGGGATTTGGAGCTTCATCCTAAAACAACAAAGAATACTTAAAGATACTAACTAGTAAACCTACATAGCAGAACAATTCAATTACACCAAACACTCAAAACAAGCACAATGACAACTAGAAAATTAAGAAAAACAAAAACACATCAGAATTTATGACGAAACAGCCATAAGTTGCGTTTTCTCATTGTAACACGGTTCACTAAAAACGTAACGCACGCACTAGGTCGGATGGACCGTCTTTTGGCTCAAATATGGCCGAACATTTATCTCGACCGAGTTAATTGGGACCATGTTTTTTTTTTCTTTGGTACATTTTGTACCATGGCCCCAAACTGTTGGGTGTAAGAATTACTTTTGGCGATTTAGTTACGCGTAAACATACGTGTTGGGTTTGAGAATCAATCTAATAAGTGAAGACAAAACTCGATTGTTGGTTACAAAGGGTATTTTTATCGCATCACCGCTTGCGGTAATAGTATTGAATTATGGGTTATTTTTTTAATGTTTGTTTATGGACGAAAATTGTACAGGCAATATTATTTTAAAAGGCTATATTGACGGTTCATTTTGTAATAGGTATTACAATATTGGCACTCACTTTAAAAAAGCCACGACAATGGTAAACTAGGCGTTTTTCTTCCTCTATAATAGTATTTTGTATGTTAATATAAGGAAAGGAAGTTCACATTGTGCTTAGGTGCTTAAGACATACGTATATTCACGCATTCGTGTATATACTTAGTAACTATCGTAAGGCATTCAAAATTTATTGAAAGTAACTAATTACTCACGTGAATCAACTCAGAAAAGCTATATTGGGTTTAAGTTACAACGAGACTTGTAATTTTGAGTAAGACGCGCGTCGCGGCTTCTTTACCGCTTACTAGTAGTTTTCCAGTTAATTCTAATGAGTAATTCGTAATTTCAATGAATGCCATCATCACATAATTATGTAACTAAAGATTTTTATTCGCCTTAAAGCGTTTCTCAAAACAAAATAAAAAAATTCTGTTTCCTAGATAAATGGTATGATATAGTTTCCTCACGGTGACCTCTCAGTAAATATGTAGGAGTACGTTTGTTTCAATACCGACATTCAAAAGTTCTGTATGCAAGCCTTAGGCAAGTTTTCATTATAAAAAAATAAGCCTCCAATTCTTATAATATCGCTTCAAGAAATATACACAATACTAAACCACTTTCAAAGTACAAGAGTTCTTGTTAATAATACAATAAAAAAACAGTTCAAAAGAATGATATATGGTAATGTTCAACGATTCAAACTTAAAACTATAAAAAGTTATTCATAAATAGTAATGAAGTTTAACCTAACGTAACAATTAATGTTATTGTTAACTCCATGAACTAAGCCTAATGTACTCGGCTAGGATATAACAAGCATAATAACTTACTAAGTTAAAGTTGGAGCTCACGAGCTGAGTCGTGAACACCCTATACATGTATACTGTGGTATCTTCACTTTTAATTGTTATGTAAAATACTTGTGTTATGAAGAGCAAAAGTTTCTTGCTTGTCTTGTTGAGGTACTCAACTAAAGATTACTATATCATGTTTTAAAACTTGCTTGTTTAAATATAGGTAGGTATAGTCGGCTCAGATATTTGGTATGCTGGGACGATATTTTTTTTTGTCAGGGGAAAATCATCAAATGACTTCTCCCGCCCAGGGTAAAGCGAGAGAGAGTGTGTCAGACTCTTACCGACTAAAAACGTTCCTTCTCCTGCTCTGGGCCGAGGCCGCTGTGACTTATTGCGCTTAACCCGCAACCCTGGCTGGAAATCAACCAGCTGGGGTTGCAAATCAAGTAGAAGAAGGAACGGGATGGTTTTTAGTCAGTAACAGTCTGACACTCCCTCTAACCGCACACAGAGCGAAAGAAGTCATTGGATGTAATACATATGTATAAGAAAAAACTTACGAAAATAAAGATACAATAATCATGTTTGCCACTGAGCCAATCAATTTTTTTTTTTTTAATATATATATGGCTCTCTACTGGGTAAATCTTCATTTTCTTACCTACGTACTCAACAATTGTGCTTGTACATTTATTACGTGAAAAAATATGAATAAAATGAAATGTATTTTTCGAACGAATGCACATTTAACTACGGAATGTTGCTTATGATAAAAATGCAATGCGTTTGTCAGATAAGGTTTAATTGCTGAAACGATTTGACAACTGTTACTTTGAAGTATATATTATCAGCTCCTTATTCGTGGTAAATAAATGGAAGGGTATGTATATACCTGCCAATATCTTTACATATTGGAAATATAAAACAAACTCACCTGTTTAATAGTTTCGAAATAGGACATTTATAAAGTAAAAGATTTCGATATAAAAATCCTATAAGCAAGGGTGTTTTAAAAATTACTCTTTTAAGAAACAGTGTACTTGAAAGTTAAAATTGTACCTACATTTATAGCAAATAAACAAATCTAAATCTAAATATAAAACTAACTGGAACTAGATCCAAGCAACAAATAACAAAACGGTGTCAGGAATACGTGACACCGTCGATTGAATACAATCGTTTGAGTATTACAGCACCATATAGGAAGATAAGGTAAGTATCCTACAGTTAAACCTTAAGCAGTAAGCATGTTCAATATAAATCTAAATCTTCGAATAAATTCACCAAAACGCTTACAACGAGCGTTGAATACAAAAATACGCTCTTAAATTATAACAAAGAGTCACGTCAGTCAGTCAATAGAAGTCTTAATCAGAAATCGCGTTTTCCAAGTACCTATCCGTTATTGCGTAAAACCGGTGCGCGTTGAGACGAGGCATGCATTATGATAATTCGAAACGTTTCCGTCGGAAGAGGCGCCGCGGAACGCTTCGCGGCACGTCATGGAACGCACCCGAAATTATTTTATAAAACACTTGTATTTCTTTATTTTCGTGAGAGCATAATATAGTACGTGAAAAGATTTATGCCTCCCTTCCTATTATCATAAATGTTGGGTGTTTTTGTAACTAAAGTGTAGACTGTACTGTCAAAATGGCTACCTACAACGTATTGTTTAATTTTACGATGGTCGATAGAAATGGTTCCCTTATGTAAAATACAATACTAGGTATGATTAATACATTGTATGAAGACATAGAAAAGCACATGTAGTTTTTTTAAATGTTTTTAAATTTCCTTCTTTCGTTCTGTCCCATTGCCCGTCGGTAATAAAATTTGTACATAACATCTACCACTGTCAGATGGCAGACTTTCAAATCATTTCAGTGTTTCAGGACGGCGAACTATTGACCTAACCGAAGTAAAACAAAGGTGCTTATTACATAGCACCTATATTAGGCGGGTTGGCAATGTATCGAGGTGGCGCACCGAACGAAACAGTTTCGATCACGCGATCCAACTGAAAACCTGAAAGAAATAACCCAATACCCGCTGAACTGCAGATTTCGTTCACAAAAATAAAGAATCCGATTTCATTTCTCATTTTATTATTCTTTAACGACATCACATAAAATAATATAATTTAAAATTCAGTGCTATGCGAAATTAAAGTCATATTTAAAACCTTGAACACTTACTGTCCGTAAACATTCGTTTTAAACTAAAAGTTTACGGTTTCAAACAATAAAACGTATTTTCTCTTTGTATTAAGCGCGCATTTTATCTATGCGAAATGAGCATCGTTACTTTAGATTTTAGGTGGCAGTAAAAGATATGCGAAGATGTTCAACTCTCAAACAGCTTTGCTTATACGCTAAATCTTCGTAAGTGTCCTTAAAATGAATAGAATCGTCTCCCCCACCTAATTACAAGCGAAATTGTTGCACACTTATGTTTCGAAATGAAACAAGAAGGGATTATTTTCGTACGTGAATAAAATCGTCTCTATTTCCTCCGAATTGAGTTGAAAATATGTTTGCGAAAACCAGATAGTCGATTTGGAGCGATTCGAAATATCACGTTTGGTACGGTGTCTTGAATCGATTATTCAATTCGAGTGAGTCTCGCGTGAGGAGTGGAAATCGGTCAGCGGTGCCGCAAGGGACCTCCGCCGCACTCCCAGAGGTGAGGGACCACGTGACTGGACTTTATTCAGCCTGCCACCTTTGTTCTACGTACAGTAACACCGAACAATCTGGATAGATGATGTGATTTACTGGGTACCTCTGTTTAGGTGGATTGGATTTATTGTAGTCCGGTCCAACCTGTTTATCTTCGTAGTAATATAGTTTCTATAGAGAAAGTATAAACCATAGAACATATAAAATCAAAACAAATAATTTTCTCAATCCTTTTTAAATAGTCAAATGGATATATACAATATCATTACAATTTTGAAACACATCGATTTTAATTACATTACGGACCTATTTTCTGTTAATGTTATTTAAAAGCATTACATATTTACAAAACAATACCGCCACAGTAACTGTAAACTCAAGCGAACAATAAATAAATTACAATCCAACGCAAACACAAAATAAAATCAGTCAATTTGTTTCGACGCAAAAGGTAAATTCGTTCATCGACTCCGGTGGTGTTCAGCGAAATAACAAATTTAGTCCCCCCAACCACCAAATCTCATTTAATAAATATTATATTTGCTGCAGAATAAATAATTACGGGTAGTTCTATTTTCGATGCAAATTAATATGCGAAACAGATGAAACGTATTAAAGCCAATCCCTGTCGGAAAAGTTTTCGCGTGACTCCATTTTATAAGCATAACATTACAGCTTTCGTCCTAATTGCACTAATGATTCAAATTAATAACGTGGAAAGATAATGAGATGTGTTACACGCGTTATGTAATTAATTATACCAAGTTTTTATCATGAAATCCGTTTAGAACGTTAATTTGAATATGCGGACCTTTTTTCATACTTAGAACACTATAGCTGCTTTTTTTGTTTATTTTAAAACCTTTTATGTTGGTAAATGTAACAAAAAACCTTCGTGTAATCAACTTACTGTCTGCTCCCGGACCGCGGACCTTTTTTGGCAACTGTTCAACTTTAACTGATGAGTTGCTGGTACATTAATGTTAAACATTAATTTTATGTAAAGTGAATAAAATTTGTAGGCCGGTGTGTTCTTTATTATCAAAAAGTATATTTATAAATTACGCGATGTATATAAAATGTGTGTTTACGTAAATATTGCGTGTTGCGTAATATTGTTTTTTTTGTATCGATTCAGAAGTAAAGTTATTATAATTATGAAAATAAAAACAAGCCCTATTTATAACAAAACAAGTAAATCGTCTTTTATTTTCTTACACTAACGAAGTATTTACTTCGATTTATTCCAAGAAGTATGGACCAGAAAACAGAGGACATAAATCAGTACAAATATTCAGGTAAAATACCGATCATGCTCACTGTCTAGGAGTATAAATTCCTTACCGGAAAACTTATACGACAGGTTTTAGGAAAAAAGAAAAGTCCCAATTTCGCAGCACTAAAAAATTATAATGCACTTCAAATACAAGTGTATTAGTAGTTTAAAAACTTTATTAATAGTTAGTAAACAATTTATGAATACGTTTAAAAGCAACAAAACGGTTACAGTATTAAAACTATGCTTCTAAAACGAACTGGTATTAATCACGCGAGGGGTCACACTTTGTTGGGTTTTTTAATCCATCTTTAACACATTTCTTAGAGGCTTAGTGGAATTTTAAAACTGTATAATACGTACTGGCTTTAGGAGAACAACATGTTTTCGAAGTTGTATGACCAATTAGGCCGTTAACTTATTAATTAGGTCTGTAATTGCGTGACTTAGACGGGCTGACAGCAGTTTATGCTGCGTGACTGTCACTTTGTGGCTCCAAGCATAGCTAGACATTTTGTAGCAAATTCAGCACACTGGTAGCGACTCTAATAGAAAAATTAAAGAAACATTATCTTTACCTTACAAAATAGTAATAGAACATCTTGTCAGATAGTTTGTATTATATAAGTTTGTAGTATCTAATTAAATTCTTTATATGTCACTAAAAACAAACTCAACATGCACGCATAATTAGCGATAAAAATTTGGTAATACTCTAACACAAGTAAATACAGTATAATCAAACTAAGTAGTTTAAAACTAATTTTTGCCTTGCCTCGATAGCTCCCGAAACGACTTTGTGAAACCTTCATTTAAGTTGAGACAATACACAACGATATTATGACCAATGTTTGTCACATTCAAACTTGAAAGCTTCCACCAAGTATTTTAATAAAAAGTCTCTTCTCAAAAGGAACTCGCTAGGAGTTTCATGCTAACAGTAAAGGTGTATATTTGCATGATTTTAATTAAATTCTCCTCCCCGTATAACAGTAAGCGTTAGTTGAAAAAAAGCTATTTTACAATGAACTAGGTTGAAAGGAAATAATAAAGTCCCTCAAGATAGTTTATAAAAACAGATAAGCAATTTATTCAGCTTTCTTTCATTGTATACAATTCAAAAAAACAAAAGCTTTTAATATTATCTTTGCTCTTTTAAATGACAAAGGATCTTGGTTAAAAGAAATATGTAAATGTACAGCCACAACAAGTGAGCTGAGAGGGGCGACGACCGCGCCACTCGGCAGTCATTAACTCAATGGTCATTTGATATAGTGAAGGGCCGAAAGAAAACTGGACGGGATTAGCGGAGGTCCGGAAAAAGCAGAATGTTTAAAGGGACATTATTGCTACGTAAAATAAGTTCCAGTGTACAAAATGAATAGTTTTGCATAGTTATTGCTTCGTTTATCAAGTTTTTCGTGAAGTTCGTTAACATTTGACAGTAACGTATAGGAGGTACACAGTGTTTGGTGGCTCGTTAAGAGCTGACAAGCGTAGGTAAGTCCACGGTTCGTTAGTGATGTGACTCTAGTCTTCGTCTCGCTGGCACATCGATCGTGTATTGACGTACTGACATAATAATGTTGAGCGATACAGAAGCACATTGAAATATGGAAGTTTGAATCGCTTTACTATCTTAGTCAGTTCAGTATATCTGCCACAGTTTAAAGGTATAACTCAGTGTTAACTTGAAGTGAATGGTTAAGTTTTTTAATAATATCCTACAAAAATAACGACGACGTGATACCACAATCTCACAGAAAACCAGCATAAAACAACCAAAGCGTTGTTTTTCGCCTAGTGAGTGAGGTTACTGGAGGCTATGGAGGTTACTGGCCCAATTCTACTTCCCCTCCTCCAATCTCTACATCTCCAAAACCCTAATCACCTTCTTTTCTGGTGTTGTGGGAAGCGCCGATTACTTATCATTAGGTAATTCTTCTGCTCGTTTGCCGCCAAATAAAAAAGATCACTACCTCCATAAACAAATTTAACAAAACATTGCCACTTACAAATTCACTCTTCAAACATAAATTAAGAACGACACACGATTGTATAAATGCATTAATTAAACACTATTTACGAAGCAACGTTTTATTTAGTTGAAAGCAAGCTGTCAAGTAGCGCAACGTGGCACACGCCTTGTCATCTGTCCGTAAACAAATTGGGCCGTAGCCCCAGCCCATTGTGGACTGCTCGACATCCGGCCAATGCGACCAACCCCTGCACTACGAGTAGTACCGTTAACGTCAAAACTTATAAAACAAACCAACCTGTATAAAAATCGATCTTAGTTTAAGTTGAAATTTTATACAAGAAAATTGTCACGAAAAATGATAGGCCATGTTTCTCTTTTTCGATGTTTACACATTTCTTGAATCATCAGTTTTTGAGTTAAGTGAACCGTTCAGATCATTGCTTTTTTTATAAACACGGATCACTTGATGGTAAGCAATCGACACTGCCATGAACACCCTCAATATCGAGGAGTTACAAATGTGCGTCCGACCTTTTAGCAAATAATCACATTCACACAGCAAAACATGTAACAACGTTGTATCTCACTACATTTCTGTAAGGCCTGTTCGTGTTAAAGCATGGCTCTTCAATATGTAATACTAGCTACACCCGCGCGGTTTCACTCGCTGCTCGGCTTCATTTGATTGTAGCGTGATATTTTATAGCCGGCACTCGGGAGTAGCTATCAATTAGTGAAAGAATTTTGGGAAACCGATCAGTGGTTCCAAAGATTACCCCCTACAAACAAACTTACAAATTTTACATCTTCATAATATTAGTATAGATTAAACATTTGTATTATTGTAAAAATAAAAATAGCATTGTCGCTTAAATAAAATAAAGAAATTTTGACATTATTACCAATTTAGCAACAGAGACCTGAAACAATCGGCAGTAACACAACTGAACCAATAAACCGATTCTGACCGTACACGGAATACTATAAAACATTACGAAAGCAAGTCAACGTCGACCATTCGTCGGCACATAATCGGCTCTAATCCCCTCATGCGTGTTTAACGGTTGAATTACTCGATTACCCACCCTCGAAATTTCTAACGACGAAATTCAAAATTCAGCGCTCTTTTAATTGACCGAAAAGGCCTGTGACAGAACGTACCCGAAAAGTTTTAAACGATTATTTTTATTCATATTCGTTTTTGTTCACAACCTCAATATAGAATTTGTAATGCTAAGTAGAGGTACGGATTTATTTTATGAATGTGTTCTGTATACGTCCGTAATACATTGACTTATTAGTATTTTGAAAACTCATTTCTGATGAAAAATAAATTATAAAAGGTAATTTCGTTTTGTGTATTTACAGACAAAATTAATATATAGCACTACCCGTGTAAAAAAGACGTAAGTGAACTTGCGTCAAATTTTTTTTATTTCGTATATAAAACGAGCATCACGGTTTACACCTTCTGTCAAAGTTTCGTGAAGCTATTTACAAAAATGAAGGAATAAATGCAAAAAAACTAAAATTTTGCGACTTTAAGAAACATAAAAATCCAGCATAAAATAGAGGTATGCATATTTACATTTATTCGCTTTATAATTTATCCTGCTAATAAAGTCATTATAATGTTTACGTAAATTTTAAAAGAAGATTTACAATAAACTCTATAACGCAAATATAAATAATGACTTGTTCCTGTTTTTTTACAATCTAGGACTATTGTGTAATTCTAATTACTTATTTCTTCTACAAAACTTTTAGCTAATAGTTTATGTGTGATTATAGTTACATACTTTCTACCCAGCAAAACTTCACAACGTGTTAAGTGTAGTTGCAGTTACTTCTTTATTACGCGAAACATTTTATAAATGATGTTGAGTGATTTCGAATACCTGCTTTTACAAGAAAAAAAATAAAAATATGTTTGTGAAATTGAAATGAAATAAAAAAAAAATAGTCTGATTTAGTGTCGTATATAGTAAAAAGTACTTATTGGATGTATTGCACCGAACAACGCAAGTCGCCTACACCCCATTGTGCCTACACCGGCTCGCGGGAGATTTCCACTATAAACGCAAGTACCTAAGTACCTCTCACCCGAACGGCTATAACTTAATAGTCGATGCTCCTATTGGCTCATCAGAAAATTGCCTCGTCCGGAGTATGGTGCCTTGTGTGGGCGCGCCGCGTATCCAAGCTGCTCGTGGACGCCGCGTATGGCACTGCAGGTCAGCGGATTGGGATGGCATGAGATTCTTCTTTGCATCCTACCCTTGGAGACGAGTTTGTTTCTCGCAGAATGATCCCAACGCTGCTGCTGACTCTCTTGCTGATGTGGTGTTGCAAGGGATGGAACTCTTCGTTCCGTCCTCTGTGGTCCCCGTCGGTGGCAGATCTCGGTCCCTGGTTCTGCTCTTCTTCTAGAAAAGCTTCGTGCATAAAGCAAAAGCCTTACCCAGCCTTGGCTGATGCGGTGGTGGCGCGGGATCTAAATAAGGTTTAAAAAGGAGTATAACTTTGCCTCCAGGTCCTACAAAAGAATCATAGCGGGTCCAAGTCAAACTATATCGGTAGGGTTGGAGAGAGGCTTGAGCGCCTTTTTTCAGGAACTCGTGCGTTCTGCTGCAGACCATCATTCTCACCTCTGCACGTGGGGGGAGAATCATTGGCGCACGACGCAAAGGAAAAAGCTCAGCTTTTGGGTAA